AAAAAAATTAGAACAAAGTATGGACGGAACGGTTGGATTTATTTCGCTGTTTAGTAAAGTGGCTATGCAGTCACTTGCAATGGTCAAAACTATTGATATCCTGTGAAAATTGTGCAGCTCATTCCATTGTAGTACTGCTTAAGTGCTTGACAATGCGTGGTGAATGCTGATCACTTAAGTATGTTTTTAGATTCATACATAACGGATTTTTGTTCGGTAGCTTTGCCCTCTTCTCTCTCCAGACTTTGGGATCCTGTAAACCGCTAGAGTGTTTCAGGCAGCGTCAGATATACAAAAAGTCCCTATAATATTTTTATTACATACCTACCTTTATCATACGGTTTTTTCTATTCGCAATTTTCTGTTAGCTTTGCCATTAAAATTGCCTATTTCGGAGATAAACTTTTTTTCAGGTAGACAGCATGGACAGAGCTGTAATCGATCCTCGGTCATTAAATCTCTGAATCGCTCGCCCTCTGAAGGAAATTGTTACCACAATTTCTAATATTTTTTAGCCTCCTTCAATGTATCTTCTAGATTAAGGTTTCCCAAACTTTTTCTATACTCGAATACAGGAATTATTTTCAAATACCTATATTAAATCTACATACAGGGTGGGCCACTAAGAGAGGTGGTCGGCCGTATCTCACAAACTATTAGTCGCATCAATTTCAAGTAAAAAAATATGTAAGTAAAGTGGCTCAGGAAAATGGCTGGAAATTACTTGGAGGGCGAAAATGCAATAGCAAAGTTTAAATACGTATTTTTAGCGGTTTCAGGTAGGTTGAGGTAGGTTGGAAGTACCTTCATTCTATTCTTGACAAGCTTTCAGTTATTTCTTGTGGGAGTATTATTGTTCTAGCTAGTCAAATAAAGTGGTGGGGAAAAATCAAATAACGGTTCAAAAAGTTGTTAATAGCTCCGTATTGGCTTAACCAAATTCAACGCTTAAATTGTAATTGAATAGCTCTTGATTTACATTAATACCTACTATAAAACATTGGCCGATATGATAGCCACTTTGGCCGCCAGAGGGCGCGTTATAAAAAGTCGTCAAACTTTTCCGATTTTCTTAAATTTTTTAAATGGAATGATCTATAATTTTTTAGTTGCTTAGAAGGAGTATAAAAAATGAAGCAAAATAGTGAAAACCACACACCGATATATCACCACACAATGATATTATTGGGTTCTTGACAAAACAATCCAAGTTATTCCCAGCCATTTCCCTGAGCCACTTTACTTATATATTTTTTTACTTGAAATCGATACGACTAATAGTTTGTGAGATATGGCCGACCACCTGTCTTATGTCTAGTGGCCCACCCTGTGCATATAATATAATATCACTCGCTTTACAAATTATACCGGAACGCCAGGTCAGGTTCAGAGGAAGACAGTTCTGGAAACCCTGTTCTAGATTGTTTGCTATTATACATTTTAGATAGTGTGCCATTTAATATCTTGCAATAATTTAAAAAAATAACAGACAGTTCAATTCGCCATCGTTTTTTCTCAAGTGTGATAAAAAGGGGCGCCTGAAAATGAGTTTATCCACTGTATATGCTTGTATTCTGCAAAAAATTGATGCAACTACTTGATGGTCTTTAAAATTAAATCGATCTATGGCAAAATTTGGTGGTCAATTTACTGTTGCAATGATCTATTTTAATAACATCATCGCCTCATTAATGACGTTATCAACATTATTTTGTCGAAAAATTGTGGAAAATTGTCGTAAAATTGTTCGTTTTAAATCATATCTAAGCAATCAAACCGTCGGTAAAAAATTGGCAAAGGACCTTATCAGACGATGGGTTCTACTTGTGTAGGTCTAGCCATAGGAAACCAAACGACGTAAATTAAACGTATTTAAGTTGATTTATTTGCGGGTTCTGCAGCTTCCAGCCGTACAACTTAGATT